AATTTTTTATATATCCTTCTTCTTATCTTATTAAATACTTATATATATTTAATATTTTAAATTTTAAATAAATAAAAAAATATTAATTATTTAAATAATGTACAAAATTATATCAAAAAAATAATATAAAAAATTATTCTAAATTATTTTTGAATTTTATTAATCCACCTGAGTTAGTTTGCTGACTCGTCTCGTCATTGCCAAGTCAACAAAAGGTGTGAACTTTGACTTAATTAACGATTTAAACTAACGGAAGTACCAAAAAACTGCAATTTTTTTGAGTCGAGGACTAAAAAAGTCCTAAAAATAGTTTAAGGATTAAAATTTAAAGTTGGGTATTAAAATTGGCATTTAACCTTTATTTTCCGACATTTCTCTCTTGAATATAATATCAATCCTTTCTCCATCTGATTTCGCCATTCGCTAAACTGCAGCTGAATCGGAGAGTCTTGGCCACAGCTAGTGCTCATGGCGAACTCGGGACAACCGGGCGATTTCTTATATCTCCCATATATGAACCCTGGAACTGACTGTAAGTCTTCCGTTGCTTTTAATTTCTTCAAATGATTCAAGTTGTTTCATCTTTTGTGTTTATGAAGAAATAATTAATGAATAATGAGTGGTGTTATGGTTTTCCCTGATGTTGTTTATGTGAAAGAATTTTTTTTTTTTTGGTTTTCTTGATGATTCAATTTTTCATGCCTAAATCCATTGTCTATATTAGTGCTGAAGTACTTCTCCATAAGCTCATGATCCAACACCAAGAAGAAGATAAAGATCTGAACAAATTACAAGATAAGAATTAGCTAAATTTTATAACATGATTCCATTAATTTGTACCGTGAATTTCTTAACTTTTTGCAGCTGATCCAACGGACCCCTTGGATGTGTCTGAATATCTTGCCTCCCCACTGAATCCAACCATGGAGACGGAATTTAACAGCCAGCAACATGGTCAACCAGCTGGAACGAATCATCAAATTAGTTTCTCGGGGCAGCCAAGTTCATATCAAACCAATATCAATGTTCAAACAACTCATATCCCAAAAATGACTGCAGAGCAGCAGCCTAGGAGAAGGGAAATCAACAGACAAAGCAGGAAAAAAAAGAAGGTATAAAACTATATATCTCCTTTAACTTTCTATTGATTTTTTCATTGTCATTTAATATTTGCATGCTATTTAGTAAATACTAGATAAGATGGTTGAGATGTTCTTTTTATTTCTGGATAGTTATTTATTTATTTTTTGATACATTATGACTATACAAGAGGAGATAATTCTCCTTATTTTTATATTTCTCTATACTCAAAAATAAGAAATCTTCAAATTAAAGTCTCAAGTTCTTAATTAATTTTGAGCCACCATTGTAGGCATTTTTGGATCCTTGCCTCTCTCAACCCTTCTCCTGGCCTCAAATTCACCTTCACCATGTCCCTGAAAACCCTCAAGCCCTCCAGGACCAACCCAGCCCCACAAAGCCCACCCACCAAGACACCATATACTTGGAAGAGGTGTTTGCCATTGAGTGCTGCAGTGGTTAGTTGGATTGCAGTGTTTAGGTGGTTTAAAAGGCAGAGACGTGGGATTAGGAGGTTGATTTTAGTTAATTCTTCTGGGTTTAATGCTTCTTCTGTGGATTGGGAGTTAAAGAGAAAATCATTTGAGGTTTTCTTTACTAGAGAAGGTAAAGAAAGCTGCTTTTGGTGGATGGATGCTTGGGGGTTTTGTTTGACTTATGAGATAAGAGCGAGAGGAAAAGTTAAATCTGTGACAGTGACAGTGAGGGCGTACAAACCGGAAAGGTGAAAATTACTAGTAAAACAAACTCAATGTTGCCAGCAAATTGCTTTCCCCAGTTGATCAGAGCACCCATTTAGTAAGTGAGCAGGAGTTCTTGAGTTGAGTTCAACTACCAACTAAAGTATTAATCTTTTATTGTTAAAAAAATATTTAAAAAAATATTCTTCATAGT